GGCCGGAGCCGCCCAGGGCCGGGCACGGAGCTCGGCGGAGGCGAGAGGAGAGGAGACCCTTCTTCCCCCCGCCCCCGTCCCGCCCCTCCAGAGCTCGCCCCGCTCCCCGGCCGCTCCCTCCGCATCTCCCCGGAGCATCCAACCCCTCCCGTTCGCCGCTGCCAGGCGGGGAAAGAAACGGGGGATCCCCGCTGGAGAACCCCGAAGCTCTCTCCCGGGATGTCCTGGGCAAACAGCTTTTCTTCTTCTTTTGTGTTTTCCTTTCTAAAGAAAGGCGCCGCGAAAATAAAGATGCTGGCAAGCAAGTTTTATTTAAGAGCGTGGACAAATATTTGGCCACGCGGGGCTCAGGGGATGGGGTGGGAAAAGCAAACACAACCAGGGCAGGTTTCATCATTTTTGCGAGCTGGTGTTGCACAGTGCGCCCGTGTAAGGCTCTGGAGAGACAGGCACCGCACACGGGCAGCAGAAACAATGATTCCCACGAGCGGCAGCGCGCTCATTGGATTACTTTGTAATTCAGGTCCTCTTGAAAACAAAAGAATGTGTTGGACGTGTGCATCGACACAAGAGCACACAGCTGTTCTGTTCAAACCCAGCACCTCGATAAACCCTTAGGCTATAAAACGATGGCTCATCTCGGGCTCCTCACCCTCCTTGTGGTTGCAATAACTGGTTAAATCAAGCTGTTGTGAGTGCCTCTCTAGGCTGTAATCTACCTTCCATCAGCCTGCCAGCTGTGCTGAAAAACAAAGCCTGAACGGAAATCGGGGACATGCATGCTCAGGATCTGCTGAGGGCATAATTATTTCTTGTTAATTGGAGGTAGGCCTGCTTCATTTCTTAGATCTGAGTGTTGAAAAGCCAGTTCTTAACATTGAGAACTGACAAGTTGCAGATGGGAAAAGTGCTAATTGGACTATAAGTATAATAATCCTATGGCTGTATTGTATTTAAAATCCAGTAAGAACTGCTACAGAGAGACATTGCCTTGATCTTATTTATTTGAAATCAAGGATTAGTGTTGATGAGCAGAAACTATCACTGTTGGTGGAGTGCTTGGTCCTTGTGAAAAAGGAGCTCATCCCTCTGAGGCGAGAGGGGAGCAGAGTGGGCAAGGTCATCATTTCACATTTAGGCAGTCAACACTCTGAAAGCATCTGTGGTGAGCAGAGTAGGTGCTGACTTAGTCTGGAGTGGGTTTTTTTTTTTCAGAGAATTCCCCTCCCTCTGCCATGCTGCAGAAGCTGTCACCAATGCTGACCTGGATTGCCATGTCACTCCCTGCTTTATTTTCACCCTGAGGTGGTTGTCCGAGCTTGGCTCAGCTGCAGTTTCCTCCCCAGCACTGAAAGCAGCAGTCCTCTGCTCTCCAGACTCAGGGAGCCCAGAATTTTCCCAGCTCTCTCACCCAGCAAAGCAAACAGCTGAGCCACGTAGGTAACCAGATAGGATGGCAGCAGCAGAGTCCTCAGGATGCTAAAGGTCTGGAGCAACAGGGAGACAAAATTCCAGGTGAGAGAGGAAAGTAAGGAGCACAACAGCTGGGGAAGAAAAGGAAGAACAGAATTGTCACTGCAACAATACCTTTGGAAGAGGTTCTATTTTCAGTGGGATATACAGGATTTTGAAACCACCATGTCTTGTTCCCTTCCATCACCCACCCAACAAATGTTATGTCCTACAAAAGACAAGTTCAAGCAGCTGTTCAAGTCAATAGTTGTACATATGAGGAATTCTAGGAGAACTAAATGGTACCCTAGACAGGACCAAGCTCACTGTTGGCACTGTTAGCTTTTGAAAAAAAACAAGGAAATGAATGACTGTTAAATAAATTGTTACTACTCTGATTTGGTACCGCCTTGGTGGTGTTAATGCTTTAAAAATGCTTTCAACTGAGGTATTGCTGATGCCATGCCAAAGCTCAGCTGCAGGGTGTGTTAGCCAAATAACTGCAGCAGGTTAAGATGATTCCAGTCCTTGGCTAGTCCAGCCTAAGCAAGGTTTGCACTCCAGCAGAACTGGTGGAAGGAAACGTGAGAGAGTACCTCAGATGCTGCAATTCAAAACTCCCAGCAATGTAACTGAGCAGACAGGACTGGGAATTGTAACAGTGGAGGCACAGAGCAGCTTTCCCTTGTGAGCCCCTTCTGCAAAGGAACAGACAGTTAAGGCACAGGGAAAGAGTAGACACACAAGACATGAAGCTCTTCCACTGCTTGAAATTTATCTTTTGGGATTTGTGTAAAGCCTGAAAGGATTAGGGTTGCTGTGTTTGCAAAGAGACTTCTGGCCTCAGTTCTTATTGAGCAAGTGAAATACATCTTATTTTCAGTCACATGCTCCACTGTAAGAAATCTGAAGCAACTTCTTAGAGCACGTAGTACCAGCCATAAATACCAGGAGAGTTTTTACACACAGTTGAGTTAAACTTCTTATCTTAGAGGAATAAGTAGAAAATTTTACCATTTTAAATGTAGTTCTCAAGGCCTTTTAAAATATGCATATGTACCTTTAAAAATGTATACACACACATATTCATGATAGTCATTCTGCACAATTGTGTGCTACTTTTACCTCATCTACAACAGGAGTCATCACAAATAGGGAAGGCAGAAAGTAAAACCTCCTGTTAGTTATTAACCAGGCAGAAACCAATCTTGGAGTGGAGCTTTGTCTTTCCCAAGAGGCCTCTGAGTCAGGCAGAGGTGAAAAAAGTCAGAACTGAGGCACAAAAGCAGTAGATATGCAGGGAGGCAGCCTGGTCCCACTACTCACCATCAGGATGTTATAGAAAATACTCTTTTCAGCACGGGAATATCTTATCTTCTGCCTCTGGGAGCAGCTGTTTGAGGTCACAGCAAGACGACTTTGGCTTTTAGGATTTGAGCTCAGATAAGCAGGTTTGGGCCTCGGTCTTCCCACAGCTCCACTGGATTGTGACTCCTCTTGCATCTCTGTACTAGATGTATCTCTCTGGTTTTCTTCCTCTGTTAATTCATCTTCAGAGTCAGAATCAGGCTCATCAGGAGATTCTTTCTCAATCTTTTCTGTGCTGGGCATCTGTGCTAGAAGCAGGTTTAAAAAGAACATGTAAAACACCTGCATGTGACTTTTTTTCCCATGGCTGTAAGACTTGCCCATTCAATCCAGGAGCTGGACAAGGTTTCTATTAACTTTTTTCCAGCTGAAATAAAGGATTTTCAAACCAAAGTAGACAATAAAAGGCCTTTAGAAGTGTTTAATTTTAGCTAATTAGCTCTTAGTCAGCAATTTTATTAAAGGAGGAGCTGAAACATTACCTTTTTACTTGTGCTTGCTGTAAACTAGCAGAAAGGAAGCGGATACAACTGAATTAGTTAGGAAGTTATTAAAAAGACTACTTTTATTTTTATAACTGAGGAAAGCTTTAATGTTCTTATTCTGTAAATATGGTGGTATGTAAAAATTTAGTGATGTGTCTAGTCTTACTGGTTAAAATGTAATTTAGAGCACTTGTGGAAACAGTTGGAGGCCTGGTGCTAAGAGCAGTCACTACAGGCCAGAAACTGTAAATGCAAATGTAGCAAGAATAACCTGAAGAATATCCTTCAAAACATCAAGAGAATTACTCTGTCCAGACAAAAACCTGAGCACTCAACTGCAGTGTAAGGATATGGCACAGCTATGTAAAATAGATATTTTGTCACTGATTTTGAACTTCCTCAGCTGTGATTAGGGTTTTTTTTCCTCCAGCATTAGAGCACAGTAGCAAGGTTTTATCCTCACATGTGCAACAACAAGCTTATTATTAGTCTAAACCAAAGCCTGTTATTGGTTGCTGATATGTTCAAAGAAAGAATTAGGGATAGATTGGAAAAACAAACTGGAAAAATACATAAATAAATGAAAGTGCATGTCTTGCTCCCTTCAAAACTTTCTTTCAATTAATAAAAGAATTCCTCACCTGCTCCCCCAGTAAAACCCTCCAAGCCCTTCCAAAAAAAGAAGTGCAAGAGAACTGTGAAGCCAGAATTTAAAGTGTACAAAATTAGAGGATTAGGCTTGCTTTCTGGGGGATTTTTGAAATAGAAACCTATAAAAATTACTTAAATGTCCTTCTTAAATCAAATTACCACTGAGAAAAAGGGAGAGTGTGAGAAGGGTAAGTAGCAGCTTGGTTGTCTTAATGACCGTTTTTGACAGAAAAACATAATCATTTGTTTGTTTTTTCTAAATGCTACCACCAGTACTAACAAACCTTTAGCTTCCTCCTGTGACAAGTAGCACTAAGCTAAAAATAGCCAGCAGAGTGCTTTAAAGAGCAAGGTAACTTTATGCAGCAGCATTTTACCTGATCAACTGCCCAACTTACCTTCATTAAGCAGCAGCTGTAGCCAGATAATGGCAATGATCAGCAGCATGACAAAGGGCAAGCAGAACCAGAAGAAAAGCAGAGGGAAGGTCAGCTCGTTCACCAGAGGAACCAGGGGATACCTCATGGCTTGCTTCAGGTTACTCTAAGTTTAGAACAGCCCGACTGCTCCCCTTTCTAACCACCTTTTAATAACTCTCATTGCAGCGCTGGTGGTCACAGAAAGGAGTGATAAATCAGCAAAGGGGCCAGCCCCAGCTGGGGAGGGAGCAGCAGGGATTAATAGGGGATAAGAACAACTGAGAAGGGCCAATCAAATCAGATGTTTTCTTCAGCTGCTATTTAGAGGATAAACACAGGTTAGGAAGCTTTCCAGGCTTATGCTAAAAATGTAGTTATAGTTCTTGTCTTTGGATATAGAGGAGGTAACCAAATGCTTTGGCCACTTTGAGACTGAGCAGCCAAGGTTGCTCTTGAGAATAAAACAGATTCAACCCTCTAGAGAGGTGTAGAGGATGAGCAGCTACAAGATTCTTCTCCTGGGCTCTTATTCAATGTAGAGCACAAATATGTCCCCATATAGACTCTATTATTAGCCTACTCTGTATATCCTCATTTATTAGCCAATTCTTTAGGGAAATAAACCTTCATAATTTAATTGCCCTTCTGTCTCCCTTCCCTGTAAGAAAGGCAACTAGTACATTTCATAGGATTGCTTAGGAGTAAAGGAATTCAGCAGTGATCAAAGAAGGAACCAGATATGTGCCTTGATAACTTGATATTCATCACACTGTGAGTTTCTCCTTCAATGAAATAAAACCATAATCTGTTGCTTACCTCACAGAGGGTTGTTTGATTAGATTGTTTGTGTAGCTCTCAGGAGGAGAGAGAAGTGATGTAAATGCACATTACAAATGATTGCATTTAATGTTCCTGCTCATGAGCATGTGTTTGTTTTTATGTAGTAACAGCCCCTTGAAATGTGCCTTTTAATCCTAAGGTCTAAATGAACCCTGCAAATTCTTATTAATTCACATTAATAACACCTTTATATGATAAAACAAAGCTATTAGCCCTGCTTTGTGCATTGGGTAAACAAGTGAGAAAAGCCATTAAAGCCCTGAGCTTCAAGGATGCTCAATATTTGAGTCCCCATTTCACACAGTGGGGGTGGCAGGTTGGGGGCACCTCTGGAAATCAGGCTGTTGATAGTTTGTCTGCAGTGCTGAGAGGGATGGAAAGGAGCTGAAGCTGTGATCTGTTTAATTTTAATGATGAATTGTGTCTCTTAGTCACTTCACTGGAAGCCCTTGGAGTCCACTGACTCTCCCTGAGCTGAGCCAGCCTGGGACATCCTTGTTGCCAAGGCAGGATGGATCCCACCCTGGAACCCCACCTCCCCAGGGAATGGGGGTTGAAATAAGGGGGAAAGGCCCTCCCCATTCCCTGGCTGGTGGCACAGGAGTGGCAGATGCCTGGGCTGTGTCAGTGACCTCCCGGGCAAGTGTCACAGCCCAGGGCTCTGGGGTTTCACCTCCACACAAGCCACAGCCACTGGGGAGGATTCCCAGCCCAAGTTTAAAGGGGCCTGTGTGAAGGGGAGCAGGGCTACAGCTCAGCCCCAGGCAAATGGTGGTACCCACAAAATTGGATTTGTTACCTGGTGTGCAACAAGGCAATAATGACACACTCGAGAGGGACATTGTTCATTTCTGCTGCCTCAGCCTGGGTGCTCTGTGGTACTCCAGAAATCCAGCACACCCCCATAGAATTTCCCTGCCATTATTTATACACAGAAATTCAGAATTAGTGACTTCCCAAGCACAGCCCCTCTGTTAGGACTGCCTAGTAAGTTCCATGCAAGTTACATCAGCCCAGCAATTTCTGTGCATTCTCAGGGGAAGGGTCTTTTTTAGCATTATAATGAACATGTTCAGCTCTAGGACACATGGATCTTGAGTATTTTGCCAAGATAGCAATACAAAGATAGGCATACATCAACATCTGTATTTGCTACATCCGTAAAGCTTGTTAGCTTCAGGATGCCCTTGACTAAGTGATGATCCTGCTGCCTGTTCCACTGACCAGGTCTCCTTTTCTGCTCATTAGGCTTGAAAGCACACAAAGATCTTATATCAGAGAACATCCCAATTTAAAACAATCTTGATAGGCTCCACCCTGGGGGTGCTGGTGGACATGAGCCAGGTGTGCCCAGGGGCCAACAAACACCATGGCACCCTGGCCTGTCTCAGGGCTACTGTGGCCAGCAGGAGCAGGAAATGATTCCTGCCCTGTGCTGGGCACTGGAGAGGGTCACATCGGCTCCTGTGCCCAGTTCTGTGCCCCTCAGCTCAGCAAGGACAACCTCCAGGGCTGGATGGGGCTCTGGTCTAGCTGACACGGTTGCCTTAGGTTGAAAGTTGGACTCGACGATCTCAGAAGCATTTCCCAACCCAAATGATCCTGTAAGGGATGCCAGCAGCTCGGAGCAGGCGATTGTCCCCTCTGCTGCGCTCTGGTGAGACCCCACCTCAAACACTGGGCACAGCCGTGGTGCCTCCAGCACCACACGGACATGGAAGTGCTGGAGCAGGTCCTGGGGAGGCCACGAAGCTGCTGAGGGCACCTGGAGCCAGGCTGGCAGAGCTGGGGCTGCTCAGCCTGCACCGGAGGAGGTTCTGTGCAGACCTCAGGGCACATTTCCAGCCCTGAAGGAGCTGCAGGGAGGCTGGGCTCTTCCTCAGGAGCTGCAGTGACAGGACAAGGGGGAATGGTACAAATTGGAAGAGGGGAAATTTAGGTTCAATATTAGGAATATTTGTTTTGTTTTGTTTTTTGGGGTTTTTTTTGTTTTTACTGCGAGGCCCTGGCACAGGGTGCCCGGAGCAGCTCTGGCTGCCCCTGGATCTGTGGAAGGGCCCAGGGCCAGGGTTTGGAGCAGCCTGGGATGGTGGAAGGTCCAGGGGGATGGAATGAGATCTTTTAAGGTCCATTCCACGACTCTGTGCAGGGCTGGGCGCTCCCTGTCCCGCTGGTTAGGCTGGGAGCACACAAAGCTCTCACATTTGCACCGCACCCGTTTAAGATCAGCTCGGAACTGCGGCCGCCGGAACCGCGCCGCGGGCCCGCGTTGCCGGCCGGACGCAGGGGGGGCGCACCCGGCATGGCGGCGCCCACACGGGTGTTCGCGTTCCGGGACGCGCGCTGGGCCCCGGACCCGGTGCTGGAGCCGGGCGCGGCCGTGCGGAGCCCGCAGCCGGCGCCGCTGGTCATCGACAACGGCTCCTTCCAGACGCGGGCGGGGTGGGCCTGCCCCGACCCCGCCGTGCCCGCCGAGCCGCTGCTGCGGTTCCGCTCGCTGGCGGCGCGGAGCCGCGGGGCCCGCGGCGGGGCCGGCGCGGAGACGCAGGTGGGGAACGACCTGGGCAGCCCCGAGCCCCTGCGCTGGCTGCTGCGCTCGCCCTTCGACCGCAACGTGCCCGTGCAGCTGGAGCTGCAGGAGCTGCTCCTCGACCACGTCTTCCAGCGCCTCGGCGTCTCCTCGCAGGTACGGGCATCCCGCTGTGCCTCCCGGAATGGCTGGGCTAGGAAGGGACCGCGCTCCGGCCCCTGCCGTGGGCACGGACAGCTTGCACTCGGCCGGGCTGCTCAGATTAACGTGCAGCCTGGCCTTGGATGCTGCCAGGGATGAAACAGCCGCAACTTCGCTCGGCAACACGTGCCAGTGCCTCACCACTCTCACAGGGAGGAGTCTTTTCTTAATAGATTCTAAATCTATTCTTAATAGATTCTATAATCTAAACGTACTCCCTAAATTTACTCTTGGGGAATCCTCTTATTAGTAGTGTTTACTGACCACCTGCGTACCCAGCTGTGTTGAGAATTGCTTCTCAGACCATGGAGCCCTGTACCTGCATGACAACACCAGTTTGAAAGCTTTACCCAGAGTGGAACTAAACTTCCACTGGTTTTCACTCATCTCCTCGTTGCATGGATTGTGGTTACTTAGATTTTTAATAATTTATATATGTGTTTAATTAAAAGTCCATTCTCTACCATTATGAGTTTATTATTTGATTGAATTAACATTAACATCTTTTTTACCCTCTTAAACACTAGATACAATTTAACTTTAATGATTAATACCTACACATAATGTGCTTTCTCCTGCCCATTCTAAGTTTTTTTGCTGATGCTTAAAAGAAGAAGCAGAGATAACTAACCCTGGCTTTTCCCTTCATACCTTTATTGCTGTTCTTTCCCCTTGCCTCTCCCAGGGCTGTGTGGATCACCCAATTGTTCTGACAGAAGCAGTTTGCAACCCTCTGTACTCAAGGCAAATGATGTCTGAGCTCCTCTTCGAATGCTACCAAGTGCCAAAGGTGTCCTATGGCGTGGACAGCCTGTACAGTTTCTATCACAACAGGAGGCAGAACTGGCCCTGCAGTGGTTTGGTGATATCCTCAGGGTACCAGTGCACACACATTTTGCCAGTCTTAGAAGGCAGGTGAGTTCTGAGTCTTAAGTTCTAAGTCTTAAGTCTGAGTTCTTAAGTCTTAAGCCACTGGCTTTTCAAGTGATGCCAATACCTGTTGCTCCAGCCCTGCACTATTAACTCTTGTAGTAATCAATACTGATAAGTTAAAACCAGGTCTGCAGATTTTGCTAAGTCGTGTTGAGTTTTGGATTGAAGGAGCAGCGCAGCTCTTATAAGTGTTGTGTTTTAGTTGTTAATTGTGCCTTGATGTGTACTTTCAAAGGGAGAAGGGGATATGTGCCCCAAGTGAAAACTTAAACATAATTTAGGTTTTAAAGCAGCCTTGGGACAATGTGATGTGCTCTGTGTGTGAGACTTCTGCAGTGCTTGAGGCTTTTATCATTCTGGTTATTCTGCTACATTGCTCTACTTTCTCTTTTTTGCTTTTTTTCTCTTTTTTAATCCTTACTTACTGCAGGAAATGGCTTTATTATATCTGGTAGTAAATTTTCAAAGTTTACACTTGTCCAACCAGAAAGTGTTACAAACCTTAAAAAACTACTTTTAGCACCACTACCCATCACTTCTCTTGTTAGAACAGAACACTGCCTTGCTGTAGCCAAAATTATTTAATATTTGGTTTTTTAAAAAAAGCAGAACAGAGCCTTTCAGAATAAAATAGTGAGCACAGCAGTGATTTTTGTTACCTGAGAAAAGTCGGTGTGTTCGATTCGCCAGTAACCAAACCTTGAAATGGTTATCTGTGAATATTCATCTACAGAAATCAAACTTTGGCGGGGGGGGGGTGGGTCTACAGAAATCAGACACTTGTGGGGGGAAGCAGGAGCTGTGTTTGATTTGCTGTGAATCTCCACAGTGTGAGCTGTGTCTGTTTGCATTTTGAGGCTGGACGCCAAGAACTGCAAGCGCATTAACCTGGGGGGGTGCCAGGCTGCCGTGTACCTGCAGCGGCTGCTGCAGCTCAAGTACCCCGGGCATTTCGCAGCCATCACGCTGAGCCGCATGGAGGAGATCCTGCACGAGCACAGCTACGTCGCCCAGGACTACATAGAAGGTAAAACCAGCTCTAATTCACCACCAGCTAGTGCTCAGCCGCTTCATTATTATTGTTCACCTGCCCATATTGTTGTTCTTTCACTTAATTCCCAACTAGTTCTCAGTGGTTTTAGTTTGTTCTCTCTACCTCCTTAGTTTGAGTTCCTCCAGAAATGTTCTACTTCTGTTTTGCTTTCTTTGTGGTAACTTGCCTTACATTTAACAGCAGTTTCATATTTAAAATTATGGAACTGAAATAAACTAGAAATAAATTTAACTACTACTAGAAACTAGAAATGAAGTTTCTAATAGTTTCTACTACTAGAAATTATTTAATATTTGGGGTTTGATGTCACCCTGATTCTTAAGATTTTCTAAAGCCTTCCGAGTTCACATTCTGTTAGAAAACTTTCTCACGCAATTTTCTATAAACAACATATTGTTTTGCATTCCTTCATGGGGTGGTGAAACTTGATGTACTAGTAGTTTGTCCAATGTCTTTGGAGAGGTGGCCCATTCACTCTCCAATCCACTGTCACCTTTGGAAAAGTATAAAAGTTGGAGTCAGAAAATAAACCTTCTTTACCTTGCAAAGAGTAGTGGCTCACGTTGTGCTTTCATGTGTCCTATAGTGACAGTTCTACTACTAGGAGTTACTACTAATGAAACTAGAAATAAAATTTAACTACTACTACAAAGAAAAAAAAATCTGTATTGGTTCAAATTTCTCTGTGAATAAAAATTGTGATGGTTTCAGTGGAAAAGAATTTAAAATGAGCTTTCTGTTTCCTTTATACATCAACAAAACCTCTAAGGGGCTAGGATTCCTGTGTTTTGTATCTGTTTTAAGGTTTCCAAAGTTGCACAGGAGATTTCTCATGTCTTTGTGTGAATTAAGTAAGTTTTAAAATTCCCGTGGCAAATGTCATCTGAAGTGGTGCCTGAAGAAAGGTGTTTTTTTAAAATTTGTCACTTGTAAATGAGTCTTCCTTAGAAATGTGTGAGCGCTCTCCCTCCCCTTGGGCAGAGAGACTTCAGTGTGCACTTGCACGTGCAGTACTTGGTGTTTCCTGGAGGTCAGAGCACTCAGAGCTGCCTGCACTGGGTGTGTGACCTGGAGGAAGCACTCCGAGGGGGCAGCCAAGCTTGGGAACAGCTGCCAAGAGGTGACAAAATTCTGTGCTTGCCCTTTTTTTGCCTTCTTTCCTCACCTGTCATCCTTCACACGAGGCACACACAACACACGAATCGTTGTTTTGGGCTGCCAAAACAAAAAGTTACTTTGCTTTCCAAATGCCCAGAGCTGCAGAAGTGGCGGTGCCCAGACTACTACGAGAACAATGTGCACAAGATGCAGCTGCCTTTCTCCAACAAGCTGCTGGGCAGCACTGTGGCATCTGAGGAGAAGCAGGAGAAGAGGCAGCAGCAGCTGCGGCGGCTTCAGGAGCTCAACGCGCGGCGTCGGGAGGAAAAGCTGCAGCTGGACCAGGAGAGGCTGGACAGGTTGCTGTATGTGCAGGTAATGGAGGCAGAGTTTCAGTGTGGGATCTTGGGAGGAGGGCAGGCTGCCCTCAGAGCTTTATCAGAAGGTCACACATCATGGTAAAGAAGCTGTGACTGTTGTGGGTGTTCTCTGATAGGAGCTTGCCAAGGTTACTTGTGAGTGAATAGAGAGAGATTATTGATGCAGGGGATGTTTTCAGTTTCTGAACAGCCCTTCTGGGAAATACTTCAAATGCTGTCAAAGTGTGCACATCACAGTCTCTAGTCATGCAAGCAGAGTGTCTGTACATCACTGCTGACTGCTGTTGCCCTGTCTTGTTCATCACAGCTAACTCTGATCTCCACAGGAACTTTTAGAAGATGGTCAGATGGATCAGTTCCACAAAGCTTTGGTGGAGCTGAACATGGACTCTGCAGAAGAACTTCAGTCTTACATCAACAAATTGAGTCTGTCTGTAGAACAAACGAAGCAGAAAATCCTACAGTCAGAAGTCAATATTGAAGTAGATGTTGTGGACAGCAAGCCAGAGGTAGGATGTTTTCACCAAGTTAATCCTCATTTTATCTCTGAAAGAATTAACCATTTGTGCTTGAAAATGTGTCCCTTCAGACTTCCATCGATGAACTATGCTTTTTCTTTAACACACTGCAAGTTATTATTAAGTTGGCAACTGGTTCTCTCTTTTCAGAGAGAATGTCCTTAGACAAACATCCTTAATCTTCAGTAGCTTTCTATTAAAAATACAGGGGAACAAATCAACCTTTTTGTTAAAAACAGTATTTGTTTTCCTTTCTGTTCTTCCCCTTCAGGTGCAGAGAACTTAATGGTAAACAACCCCCCTGCCTTCATTATAGCTGTCTATTTTTGGTGCATTTAAGCAGCATGTTCTGTTATGGTTCCTTAATGAAAGATTAATTACTACACTTAGTTGTTGGAGTTGCAGATGAGAAGCTCCTTGTCTGCTTTGCCAGACTAACACAGGCCCAGCTGCTGCCAAGAGGTGCTCTGAGACTGCCTGTGCATGTGCTTTTAATTGCCTTTCAGGTCACATAAGACAAAGATTTTTTAGCTTTATCAGCCTCTGTTCAGGGAAAAAGTAGAGAGAAAAATTGAATCATAGAGGGGAGATGCTTATTTAGGTTGCCTAGAGAATCTGTGGCTAGCCCAAGCCTGGAAGCGTTCAAGGCCAGCTCAGAGCAACCTGGTCTAGTGGAAGGTGTCCCTGCCCATGGCAGGGGATGGAACTGGATGAGCTTTTGAGGTCCCTTCCAACCCAAATTATTCCATGATTCTATGTTTATCAGTGTAAGAATCAGAATGATTGTGCTTCAGCAAAATTCAGGGAGATGATGGGCTTACCATTGTAGTGAAAAATCTTTCTGCCTTCTGTCAAAAGAAGATATTCTAGAAAAAAGAGAATTGAAAGATTAGCAGTTACCTGTGATTTTTCTTGGTGATTGTGCCTAAATTCCAACATCTCCCGCACCCCTGCTCTTTGCTGGGTGCAATCTCAGACCTCAGAATGAATCCACAAGCTTTGCTACTTGGTTTGTGCCTTGAGAGAGCACAGAATCCCTTTGTAAAACCAGATGTTCAGCTGAGTTCTGTGTATCTTTTTGGTTTTGCCTTTCTCCTTTTTTTATAAGATAAAAAAAGAAATGCATTTAACACAACTTCATGAGACTACATTTTTTGCTGTAACAATGAACACTTTTAAACTTCATTTTGATTGATTGAAGTGGCTAAGTATATGTATGTAGATACTTAAGAATGTTTGACAGACTTAATTGTACCTCATCCTGGCATCTAAATGTTTCAAATTTAAAATAACCAAAACAAATATTTAGCAACAAAATCCCAGTAGTAACATTGTAACACAAAAAACGAAAAGATAATTAAAAACCTGTTCCTACCTCACAACAGGAGTCTTGTTGGATTTTGAGTGATGCTTTTCATTAGGACAGAGCTTCATGTCTATGTAAAATAAAAAGGGATTTGGTGCATCCTGTGAGCAAACAGGAGATAGTTGAAACTCTCAAAAATTGTGTGGTAGCTTTGTAGCTAGCAAATATTTGTTTTCCAGTCCCACACAAGCAAAATAGGGAATTTAATGTAATTATAAAGCAGTTAGAAGTGTTGGAAGGATACCAGGTTTAAGCCAATATAAAAAGCTATTTTACTAAGTTTTAATATGCTGTTATGCTTAGGACATGGCTGCCTGGGATCCTGGCAGTCAGCCTGGTGACTGAGGTCTGCATTTCTGAGCTGGCATTGGGATAAATTTATTGGAAGTGTTTGATTTTTGTGCTTTGTGTGAATATCTGTATTTTTGTTTTCTGGGCATATTTGCTTTCAGGCATGTTAAAGAGTTGAGATTTTTTGAGAAGAATGAGTTTTCCAGCCATGTCACCAGAATTGAAATCACACCTGAGCTAAGCTACCATAACTTGCTCTGTTTCCAGACTCCTGACTTGGATGCACTGGGCAGTGAACAGTCCCTGGAGGATGTGGAAAGTATTAATGAGTTTGAACCTTTATTTGCTGAGGAGCAGCCTGAAGTTGAGAAGCCAGTTGCTGCAGTGCAGGTTTGCTTTCTGTATTTACACCTTGTGCCAGGGGTTTGTGTCCCAGCTGTCCAGCCAGTCTGCTGACATTTCTCCTCATGCAAACATTGTTTGCCTGCTCTTGGAAGAGATGCCTAAACTATCTGAACAAGACACTAAGAGAGAAATCCTGGCAATCTTAGCTGGTGGTTTAGGATGAGAATTCCCTCTTGGCTCACTCTGCAGGCAGTGCCTGGTGTAGCAGTGCTGTGTTATTAAGGGGAAAAAATTCTGCTCAAGTGTTTTTATCGGTGATCCGTAGCCTGATATTCCAGTGGGCACAGCTTTCAACTTGTGAGGTTGAGCCTTAGAATTAAGTGGCTCCAAGCAGAATAAATTACAGGAAAAGTCCAGCTTCCCTGGCCTTTTGGAACTTTTAGCATAATGCTGTTCCTCTGTGGGAGCATTACCATTTAGATTTTTGTACAGAGTGGTTTGGAAACGTTGCTTATTGTAGAATATTATTGTTCTTTAACATAATTCCCCACTATTTCTCAATGTTTTTAAAGCCCGTGTTTAACCTGGCAGAGTATCACCAGCTTTTCCTTGGCACTGAAAGAATCAGGGCTCCAGAGATTGTCTTCCAACCTTCCCTGATAGGAGAGGACCAGGCTGGGATAGCAGAAACCATGCAATACGTCCTTGAGAGGTGAGTTTACAGAACTATTTACTTCAGACAAGCTGCTCTTCATGTGATACCAGCTTTTGTAATGCTGGAGGTTTAGCAGTAATTTGAGAAAATATGTTGAATAGTTCTTATTGGTGGGGTCAGGTATTGCAGGTTAGACATCAGTCTTTAGTCAGTGAGTCTACAAAGTATTTTGATCCATAACCCTATCAATGAAAAATTTTTGAGCACACACCTCCAATGTATGTATCTTTGTAAATTGCAGCTACTACTAAACTAATGCATTATGAACATTTTAAAACATACACAAAAATAGAAATTAAAAAAGAATGAGATAAAGGTGAAATAAACACTATTTAAATGTATTTATCAATTTGTCTTCCTGCACCCCACTGGATTGTTTGGCACAGACCCTACTTCAGCAATCCCTGGTCCTACTTGTTATTGAGGGGAACAACAAACACTTACAAAGTGAGCTGGCAGTCTCTGGTTTTGGAAGACCAAAATTAGGGGTAACATTTTAAAGTTAAGATACAGGCACATCTGCTGGACATTTCCAGACAAATTAGCATTGATGAAATGTCAGCCCTTAGCTGTATGAACACAGGAAATCACATTTTCTGAAAGGTGAGAATTCCAGCCCTAGAAAAAAATCCAGTTGTTGGTTTATGGGGTACTGAGTGCTTTCAGGATTTTTTCGGCCACCCCTTTAATTTCCAGAAAACAAAGTTTTTGGTGCTAGGAGAATGAAGTTTCTCAAAGTGAGTCCTGGGACAAGGTATCAGTATTCCACACAGCTGTTCCAGTTCATAGGGCAGAGGTCCTAGAGAAGGGCTGAAGCTGTTGTTGTTCTTCACAGGTATTCAAAGGAACAACAGGCTATCCTTGTCCAGAATGTTTTCCTCACTGGTGGAAATACGATGTACCCTGGACTGAAGGCCAGAATCCAGAAGGAACTCCTGGAAATGAGGCCATTCCAGTCATCCTTTCAGGTGTGTGTATTGCCTTGGTGTTTATGTGAACAGCCTGTTCTTCTGTGTTCAGATGGAATTGGGTGAGGTGCAGAACAGGGGTGTGGAGAGGGTTTTAAGGCAAGACTCTGCAAACAGCTTTTTGACCTGAGAAGGTGCAGGTTAAGCAAAGATTCAGTTGCTCTTTGTGAAGACAGCATCTTGAGTAGGGAAAAGGAAAGTCTGCTTCTGCTAAAGGACCATGCACACAAAAACATGTTTGGCTGGAAATTTGCAAATTGTTTGCTTAGGAATTGATAACAAGGTGAAAACACATTGAACCCATTACTTGTTCTGCGAGACACTGAATAATCAGCTCAAATTTCTGAAATTCAGTTCTTTGTGTCATATACTGTTGTAACCAGGGTAAAAAGGGCTTTCCTTTATATAGTGAAATGTGTCCAACCGGCGGGAAGAATGATGCTCTGACTCCAATGATTTCAGAAGGCTAATTAATTACTTTATTGTACTATAACTATATTACACTAATAAGAACTATCACTAACTAACTAGAAAACTTGTGACTCTCCTGAGTCATACATGTGGATTCAATTGGTCAGTGAAACAACCATCACTAGAATCCAATCAAGCAATCACCTTGGGTAAACAATCTCCATACCACATTCCACATGGGCACAACACAGGAGCAGTGAATGAGATAAGAATTATTTTGATTCTCTTTTCTCTGCTTCTCTCACAGTTCTCTCAGGAGTAATCCTGAGAAAGCCAAGTCTCTCTTTGTTCAGAGAGCATGTGAATACCACACCTTTCCTGTGCTGAATTAACATTGTTCTGTTTTTCTTCCATCCAGGTCAGCCTTGCTTCCAGCCCTGTCCTGGATGCCTGGTATGGGGCTAGGGACTGGGCAGTGGAATACATGAACCGTGAGGAAGGCTGGATCAGCAGGAAGGACTATGATGAGAAAGGGGGGGAATACCTCAAGGAACACTGTGCCTCCAACGTCTATGTTCCCATCCGCCTTCCCAAGCAGGCCCCGCGGGCAGCAGAGGCTCCCAGCAGAGCCTCGGGCACAGGGAACCCCAGTGAGCAGACATAGCCCTGTCCTGGGCAGCCTCAGCGCTGCAGGGAAGAGTTCCTGCTGTGCAGCAGGGCAGAGCCTCGCTGCCTGCTGGGGGCACTCAGGTCCCATCCAGGTCCTTGGCCGAGGAGCACGGGACATGCTGAATGTGTGCCCGTCACACGCTGCAGCTCGTGGAGAGGAAGAATCCCTCTTAGAGACTGTCATAGTAAGGCTCAGGGGTTTTGGAGAGTGTGTGTTTTACAGCTTATTAAGATGTAATGAAATGTGCTGGTTTTGGGTGGTTTCATTGCGGCTGGGCTGTAGCAAGGCAGGCAGCCCAGCAGGTGTCCCCCTTGCCTGTCTCACATGTCGGGCAGGGGGGCTGAGCTCAGCCCTACCTCCCCAGGCCCGTGTTCCATCTCCTTCCTGCTAAAGCAGCACCAAATAACCAGTGGGTGCTTCTTGTCTGCATCGACGTCAGAGATAGCGATGTTGTGGCTGAAACTGGAGAGCTGGGCACACAAAGACACAAGCCTCCATACAGCACAGTCCAGAGGCACTGCCAGACCTTCTGCTGCCCTGGAGTGGTTCTGCAGGCTGAGCAGGGCAGCTCTTTGATGGGACTTTTTGATCAAAGGTGTTGTAGCAATAAAGCAAAGCTTTTTTCTTTACCACTAACTTATGTGTTCCAGTGATTTCACCTCTTCAGAGCTATGAGAATGGGTTTGGTTGGTTGTACTTTACTTAAAAACACACGTTTGCAGCCAGGCCCCTGTCCTGCTATACAATTTGCCTGTGGATTCAGCTGTCACACTGAACAACTTGTTGCTTTCCCAAAAGAATAATCCATACTGAATACTGAACACAAATCTAAGGAGACTCTGTCACTTTGGCAAAAGCTGGAAAAGGCAAAGTAATGGGGAAAATATCCAGACTGTAACTGATATAAAGAAGGTGTAGAGGTGTTTGGTGTCCCCAAGGGCTGCAGAGCATCAGGATAAGTTGTCATCTGGCAGATTCAAAGCAAGGAATGTGATGAACTTGCTTGTGCTGAAGTTGGTTGCCAAAATATGAGATTTTTTTAATTCAAAAGTATTACTGAGATTTACCAATTTTTTAAAAAATACAAAATTGTGGGCAAACACTGAGGTCTCACCTGTGCATTGAGTGTTCTTCAGAGAGCCTGTGAGGGAAGGGTTGTTGCAGACCTGCTCTCACACAGTTCCTGTGGCACCCAGCACTGGCCAGTCCCAGGTGGATCTGGTCTCGGTGGCCTCTGCCTGCTCCTCACAGGCTGTTGGGCAGGGCAGGAGAAGGGAGCTGGCTGCCTCCAGGTGACCTCAAGTTTGGATTATTGATCCTATCCCTGGCTGCCTGGAGGCAGTTTTTAGGATAATTAAGGGAATTCTGTGGGTCATAAAGAATGTGGAAAAACATGCTGTGCTGAAACCAGCCAAGTTACACCCAAACATGTCTTTTGTGATCTCGGTGACCTAGAGTCAATGATGTCCCACTGCTATGTGACCCCTCTCTGACCCATCTTTAGCTTTACTTTAGGCAGAGGGACTACCCGAGGAATGGAAATAGTTCTGATATGTGGTGTTGCCTGCTAAACAGATAAGTGTGTTGTGCATAAATCTGTTCCAGAATGAGGGCCTGAAAGGGCATCTATAATGCATGATTATGTGACTTTTAATCTATGGCCAAATTGTGCCAGCCACTTCTCTTGCATTAATTCAAAGCAGAGTTGGCTAATTCTGCAAAGAGGTGCCAGAGCAGCTGCTTAAACAGCTTTAAGGAAGCAGAATTTTATAATCTCCTGAATATTAGTTGTTAATTTGATACTTTGCGCCGCAGTAGCCAGAGTAACTGATGAACTTGGCCTAGGTGATCACTGTCACAGGCTGCTCTTGAGTGTGCTGATGGCCATTCAGGTGCTTGGAGCAGCACCATGAAAAGCCTAAATTGCTGAATGGGATGAATTTTACTAATTTCAGTTCAGTTCCCTGGTTATGATTTGCTGTGGTGGTACCTGAGCATTGCTGCTGGCAGGACAGAACTGGAAGGAGTGTGTGGTGCTGAGGGCAGGCAGACACAACAGTGTCATTTCAGAGAGTATTGTTGGAATCCTTGTGGAGCTTCACCATTGTGACACTTGTGACAAGGTTTTCTCACCCCCTTGTGCAGAAGAATTTGGTTGTTTTCCATCTGAGTGGCACAGGGATCTCCAAACCCAGAAGGGGCTTGGGGTATCTCCTGTCATTGGTTTATGCCCCCTGAGAGGGGAAAAGGTCAAAATACACATGCTAGGCCTCTTTTTAATGGGAGTTTTGGTTGTGTTAGGGGAACTAGGAGGAAAAATAATCCTAGTGTGGAAAGGAATCTCAAAGTGCTGCTGTGAGAGCCTTTGGCAAGTGATGTCAGAGCTGTTGTGTGAGCTGCTGTGCTTATCCTGCAGTGTCCTCCAAACTGACCTAGGTCACTTGCCAGGTCTGAGATGGTCAAGTGGTTCCCATTTGGTCCTTGGTAAATTAAGTTCAAAGCAACCTGTAACCTGGTTATACAATTCAGTTATGCCCTAATTCAGGTCAAATACAAAAGTACAATTTCACAGCAGTGCTGAGTTTGGTCTATTTAAAAGAGAGCTCAAACTGGGTCCCCACCTTTCACAGGGTCTGCTCTGGGTGGAAACACCACGTCAGTGAACAGCCCTGGAGACTGAACGTCCATCACGTGTCCCATGTCCCAGATTTCCTTTGGAGCTGCTGTCGAGCCTCTCTTTGGGGCTTCAAGGCTTCTTATGCATCCTGTGCCACAGCAACTTCAAACATGTTCTTTGCTAAATCTCTGCTAGGACACCAAGATTAGAACTCTCTGCTCCAGTTATTAATCTCTGGAATACTTAATGTGCTGTAAGACAGCATCTCAGAAGAAAGAGAAGATGCCCGTGAACTGTCACTTAAAATTTAGGATTATCCCTCCAGAGACAGCCCACAGTGATCCTCTGGCAGTCAGTCATAAACCACAAGTTTTGAAGCTTGTGTGGGATGAGCAGGGGAGAGGAGAATGCTGTAATGGATTTAACATTATCCCCAAAGTCATATGGTGGGATTTCCAGCCCATGGTTGGGAAGGCCAGGCAGAAGCAGCTGTGCTGATCCCCACTGCTCACTCCCACTGCTGTGTGCTGCTCCCTGAGCATCAGCTGCAGCACAGCTCAGGTTTAAATGGCTCAGACCCTGAGCATGGTTTGCCAAGAGTTTTTCAAGCTCCTTTCATCCCTCTTCAGACTCTCAGCTTCCTGTGTGTAGTTGACAGACACCTTTTCCCCCCTCCTTGTTCACACGATCTCAGCCCTCATGTTAGCAAGGTGTCACAGTTTCAAGGGATCTTTTTTTAAGTTATATTGCTATTTTTACACCCTATGGGGTCTTTTATTTCTCTTTTTGAGCAGTCAGCTTGGTTCCCATTTCCTAATGCAGCAAAGGCCATGATGAAAGAACCATTTTCATGGATCCAGCTCATAGCAATATTTGCAATCGTGGTTCTGCCCTCAGTTCTGTCTCAGCAGAGCCAGCCTGAGAGTGGTGCTGGCTGAGGCTTTCACACAGTGCACAACTCCTCTGGGGAAGGAGGGAGATCAACTAAAATCATGGAGACTTGGTCCATCTGTGCTCATTGCACAGTGTGCCAAGTGAAAAAATCTTCAAACCTCAATTCCTGAAGCCAGCACAAGTCTCAAGTACGGAGAGAATCACTATGCAGGTATGCTTTAATTTGTAAGCAATTGCTGTTCCCCACTATCAGAGTATGAATAGCAAGCTGGATTTATGGTCTAACTGAGGAACTTTTGTGCTCTTAAAATTCCTGGGTTTAGTCAGGACAGCAGTTTTTTAGCTTTTCAATTATTTCAGAACTGAGGAGAAGTATGAAACAGCTTCTCCCTTCATCTGACAGGAGGTGAATATGCAGTGCTGATAGGGAAAGCATTTTTATATTGTCAGTGATGTTCTGTGAAGATCCTGCACTTCCAGTAGTCAGGCTGTTACATCAGGAGGAAGCTCATCCCCAGGGAAGCTTGTGGCAGGTCTGGCTGGACAAATGAGCATCGTAACATACAAGAGAAAAGTGAGGCTTTGTTCAAACCTATGTCAAGTGAATTCCAGGGGAGAGAGACCTTTGGAAAGCCCCCCTTGTTTGAGCTTTTTAGGAATATAGTGGGCGATAGAGTATTGGATAGCAAGGAGACCATGGGGCATTGGCTGCTTTCCTTATTTAGATGAAAGGCAAGGATGCATGATGGACTTCTGGGTGGGAGAAGGTCTAAGGGATGATGTCAACCAAAGGACTCTGGTGGCACTTTCCTGAGTGGCCTGATGCTCAGGAGGGTTGGGAGGCTGTTGCCTGTAGGAGAGGCTGATTTTTCCACTTCTCCAAACCATCACCCTGTTTCTGCAGCTCTCCCTGGAGCGTGTTCCCTGCTCCTAAATGGCTCCTGTGCCAAGTGCAAAAAATGTCCTGTCCCAGCTTGGGAGGCTGGGCACTCACTGCTTTGTCTGAGCTTGCTTGGTAGCAAGTTCCAGTCTGTGCAAACAATTTTTGGGTAGTCTTAGCTTTCCACTAAACATTTTGATGTGAAGGGTTTGTTCTTCAGGGTGTTTTCATTCCCTTCAAAGGAGAATACTAATGAGTAAAACTGTCCTGCCTCACTGACACTTGTTTCTGCACCTGAACAGCAGCCCCAGATGAGGAACAGTCCTGTTGGTCTGATCTGCCTGCTCTGCTTTGGAGGCTTCACAGGGCTTCCCCACAACATTTTAGAAATAACTCAGTCCCTGCTAGAATGCCCAGAAGTGTGCTGTGGTACACAGAAGTCTCACCTTGAGCACCAGCTGCCTTTCAGTGTTTTGTCTGCTACACTTAGATAAATCCACCCAATCTAGAAGCCATCAACTGATAAAATCTCTGTGCTCCAGAGGCAAAATGCTTTGAGAGGGTCCCAAAGTGCTTTCTTGAGCACATCCACAGTGACATGTA